CGAGGGGGAGGAGGTTGATATGGAGGATATGGAGGAGACGCGACATAACGCCTTGAGAGATGCGGCGCGACGCCTCTGGAGATCCCGGCAGGTCGCTGCCGCTAGGGGCGGCGACCTGGAGGCCGCGCTGGCGTTGCTGCAGGGCGGCCAGCTGCCTCCAGACGGCCCGCAGCCCGCACGGCCGCCGGGAGACGCCGTCTTGCCGCCCCTCTCTTCCCCTCCTTCGCTCCGTCCTTCTCCCCCTACCGGTCGTACCCTCCTCCCCTTCCTACACCGTCTCCTACCTGGCCTTTTCCTTCTCCCTTCTCGTGCCTCGCTACTCCTCCTCCTCCTTCTCCTGATTTCCTTCTCCCCCTCCTCCTCTTCTCCTCCTCCTCCTTCTTCTCCTCCTCCTCCTCCTCCTCCTCCTCCTCCCCCTTCTCCTTTTTCTCCTCCTGCTCTTCCTACTTCTCTTTCTCATCCTCCTCCTCCTCCTCCTCCTCATCATCATCATCATCATCATCATCAGCATCATCATCATCATCATCATCATCATCATCGTCGTCGTCGTCATCATCATCATCATCATCATCATCATCCTGCCCGCCCCCTCCCCCGCGAAAGCGGGGGCCCCCGTGAGCACATCGGGATACCTGGGGGAGCTTCCGCCAGCGGAGCTGGCGGGAGGTGGGTGCCGTCTTTATCGGCGGGATACACATCGAGCCGGCGACCAGCCGCCGGACTGGCGGAGGGCGGCGGGGGGGGGCCTGGGGGCTTGGGCGCCCAGGCCCCGTGAGGGGCACTCCCCGGAGGTGGGGGGTGTCGGGTGGGGCGGGCCCGGGATGCCCTCCGTTGCCAGGCCCCCCTGGCTCGGGGTCCATGTGGCTCGTTCTACTTGGTGTCCCTCCTCCTCCTGGGGTCCCCTCGGGGGGCGGGCTGCCGCGGGCTCCCTCGGGCCTGCGACGCGCCGCCCATGGCCTGTTCCGAGGGCGCGACGGGTGCAGCGCGCGAGAGCGGGCTCCGCGCGCCCGCAGCCGCGGCGCGAAAGCACCCCTCGCCGACGCCGTGGGCGCGAAGGGTGCGGGGTGCGGGGGCCCGGCTGCCGTCGCGCGGGGCCCCTGGCCCCCAGGGCGGCGCGGCGCAGCACCGCTTATCCGGTGCGGACCGCACCGCTCTGGGGTTTCGTCGGCCTTGGCTACTGTACTGGTGGGGGCTGCTGGGGTCTATTGGGGGCCCCCGCGGCACGGGGCCCCCCTGCTTTTGCTGTTTGGCGGCCGAGGGCGGCTCGGGGTCGACGCCTACTGAGGCTGCCCTGTGCTTGGATTCCTCGCGCTCGTGGAACCTGGCTGCGCCAATGCTGCTAATCCTGCTAAGCCTTCTGCTTCTCTTCCTCCTCCTTCTCCTCCTCCTCCTCCTCATCATCATCATCATCTCCTCCTCGTCTTCCTCGTCGCAATCCTCCTCTTCCTCGTCCTCCTCCTCCTCCATCTCCCTCCCTCCTCCCCCCTCTCTCCTCCTCCCCCCCTCCTCCTCCTCCTTCTCCTCCTCCTCCTCCTCCTCCTCCTCCTCCTCCTCCTCTTCCTCCTCCTCCTCCTCCTTCTCCTCGACCCCTCCTCTCCTCCTCCGACCGAGACGCTGCAAGCCCTTCCTCTCCTCCTTCTCCTCCTCCTTGTTATTCGTCTACTGGCGGAAGCTAATTGCTGCGCAGACTATCATGCGCGATGAGGAGGAGGAGGAGGTGGAGGAGAAGGAGGAGGAGGAGGAGGAGGAGGACAAGGAGGAGGAGGACAAGGAGGTAGAGGACAAGGGGGAGGAGGTGGAGGACAAGGAGGTGGAGGACAATTCTTGAGAAGAGAACTGACGGACATGATGCCTGAAAGAAGCCATGCGCAACCTCGAGAAACGTGTTACTGGAGCTAAAATGGCTTGAGCCAAAAGGCTTGAACATCCGTATCCATATCCTCCTCCTCCTCCTCCTCCTCCTCCTCCTCCTCTTCCTCCTCCTCGTCCTCTCCTTCTCCTCCTTCTCTTCCTCCTCCTCATTTTCCCCTCCCTTCCTCCTCCTGTCCGCCTCCTCCTGTTCCCCTTGTGCGTTTCTCAGTCCTTGATCAGGCGATCGCTGACTAGGATATGCATCGCCCATCGCACCCGCGTCGCGACTCAGAAAATGCGACGCAAAGTGATGTCTCACGCTGATGTGTGGTTCGAACCATTTGGCTCGTGCATGCGACGATCGAGCTGCAGGCCGTGGAGGAGAAACTCAGACTGCGATGCCAACACATGGTCCCACTGCGATCTGGAGTACACTCAGGGCCTTCTGAAACGCTCTGGACTGGCCGCGGATCCCTCTAGATCCTGACGACCCGCCAGTCCTCAGAGATCCTCGAATTATTCGAACCTGGTTTGTATCGTAGCTGGTCCTTGTTCTATAGACAGTGAGCGCGGCCGAGAATCGCGCGTGCACTTGAGTATGAAGTGCGTTCTCAGCGTTTATCGTTCTGCTCGGCGTTAATTTCGCCTTTGACAGGTCGCACGGGCACGGTTTCGGTTTTGGCCAGGCGTAGTTCCCGGTCCGCCGATGGCAGTGACGTCACGGTGTTTTGAGTGTTTCGCCAGGCGGGCGACGCTGAATGAGTCTCATGTTAATGAGTGAGGGGGGCAGGTCGAGCTGGAGAAGAATGGTGATGACGAGGAGGACGAGGCTTGGGAGGAGGAGTTGGCGAAGGAGGAGGAGGAGGATGCTCAGGAGGAGGAGGAGGAGGAGGAGGAGGAGGAGGGACGCTTCGCTCGCTGCGATCGCGCCGCAGGCTGGGACTACGTGCTCTACGGCCTGGAGGTGTGCCTGCACATCCTGTCGCACTGGTCCCCGCGCTCGCGCTGCCCCTGCCCCTCGTTCGGTCCTCCCTCCCCCCCTCCGCCCCCCCTATTCTTATGATGTTCCAACCTTCGGGGGCGGAAAGGAGGGGGGTGATGACTAGGGGGGGGGGATATCATGGCGGGGGCCATGATATTTCCCCAGATTTCATGGCGCCTCTTCGTATTTCATTACGTCCCTGCCCCCCCCCCCACTGGGCCGCGCACATGCCGCCGGTCATGATTTGCACCCCCCCCTCTTGGACACCCCCCTCTTGCCCGCTCCCGAAACCTGCTTTAGCCTTGATCGCCAGGAAGAGTTTCGAGCACCAGCAGAATACCGAAACTCTAGGGTCTTCACGTGTCGGGCCCCGGGAGACACTCGTCCGACCCTGTTTCGGCGCTCTTTCGACACTGTTTCGACACTCTGTCGACACTTTTCCGGGTGCTCGAAATTATTCATGGGATGTGGTCGTCAAGTACGATGGGAGAAACATAACCCTAGTCACCTTTCTGTGACCTCGGTGATCCTGGCGATCCCCTCCCCGTTTTCCCCCCCACTCTCCAGCCTCTCTCGTTCCTTTTCCTCCCTGCCCTGTCCTCCCACCACGCTCGTCCTCAACCCCTTCCCCCCTTGTCTTTCCTCTTCCTCGTCCCCTCTTTCCCTCCGCTTCCTTCCCTTTCCCGCGCCCCTCCAGGCGGGACAACCTCCAGGCGCATTCAGTACGCTAACCGCTGCACGTGGCTTCTGCACATCGCGCGGGCCAGGTGTTCAGGAAGGCAATGCTTTACTATGAAATGTGTTTCGCCCGCGCTGGAACTGGTTCGGTGCTTCAGGGGCCTTCGTCCAGACGCGTGGCTCACCATGCGGACATGCAGCAAGTCGGTTAGTCGACGTCCCTTCGGCATGTGGGCAATGCGTTGTGCCTGTGGTAGCGTATGGTACTCATATGAAGCGCATCCTTGTGTGCACTCCATATTGTGTTCAACCTGTAATGGACGCCATCTATAATGGTTGTATGTGTTACTTCATCAGCTACTCCTTGCCCAGTCATCTTAGGCTCGATCGTATGCGTACTTCACAGCACCCGACCTATGGCGCCGGTACGACAATAAAGGGAGGTCGTGCTGACCGCACCCAGGAAAAGGAGGAGGAGGAGGAGGAGGGCGGAGGAGGAGGAGGAGGAGGAGGAGGAGGAGGAGGAGGAGGAGGAGGAGGAGGAGGAGGAGGAGGGGAACACCTCTGCGGCGGAGTTTCGGCCGTTTTCGCGGGCCAGCCGTTCCGCTGCAGCAGTGCATGGCTTCTCTTCCTCTCCCTCCTTTTTCCTTCACACCACCAGTGGCGCCAGACACGATTTCTGAAAAGTATCCTGCTGCGGGTTTTCTCCGTGTCTCTTTGCAGGTGGGTGGCTCCACACACATAATTATGGGTACGCCGGGGGGGAGATCATTGTGCGTTGGCGGTCTTCATTTGGCCTCGCCTCCTCCCGCGTGCTAAGTTAGCGATGTAGTCATCAACTCCCTCATCTCCTCTTGGCCGCCCAGTCGTGGCAACACAAGCTGGAGGCGCAGCTGCAGCATCTGGCATCACTACCCGTCCTGCCCGTGACACTCTGACGTGTCCGGGCTCCTGCCGCAGACCCCGCCACAGTGCCATCAGAGCCGCCAGGAGCGCGTGAGGCACACCGGATGAGAAGCCAGCCTGCCGGCAGGTGCCCCGGGGACGTGTCGGATCACCCGCTGGCCGCAGGAATCCACAGAAGCCCCGGGGCGCCACGGGAAGTCCAGGGATCCACGAAGAGCGTTCCCCCAGAAATGTACACACACACACATCCCCTGTTGCATGTGCTCGCGTCACGCGGGCTGGCCTTGCCGAGCTCTCCCGGGCATGCTCGGGAGCCGTCCTGCGGCGGGCCGCCGGGGGCGCAGCGCCGCGGTGCTGCGATGCCGCGCGGCCGTGGCCGGCGGAAAAAGGCACGGCTGCTGCGCTGCCCTGCGGGCGGGGGCGATGCGGAAGTTTCCTGAGCTCGTTGTCGGGAGCTTCCTTTTGGGGGGGGAGGCGTGGGAGGCGGATGCCTCTCGGGAGCCTCTTGTGCACAGCGGCGCTTCGGCTTGCTGGGGGGGTCCAAGTGCACCTCTGGGAGCGAGGGAGTGGCCCGAGCTTGCCCGACGAGGCCAGCGAGAAGGATGCTCGGGCCGTGTGGCGGGATTTTGGGGCTGCCTTGGAGGCAGTCTTGGGCCTTGGGTTCTCTGGTCGTAATTGCGGCTGTTTTGGGCCGCCCTGGGCCGTCCAGAGAGTCTCCTCGGACTTGTTGGTGCCATCTCGTGGCTTGTTGGAGCCTTCCCGGACGCATCTCGGTTTTCTGAAAAGCGCTGCACGAGCACTCCCGCTGACAACGTGTCGTTGCTGTCGTTCGGGCAGTGTTTCGTGCGCGGAAAACATCTCCATTTCCGCGGCCTCGCGGGCCCGGCCCCGCAGGCCGCGATCCCGCGCATACGGTGCGCTTCTTTGTGGATGCCCCGCGCGGGACGTACCCGTGCGACAGCGTACAAGCGGGGTCGGGCCCCAGAAGCCAGATGGCGAGGGCGCGGATACGGATGCGTTCGCCGCTCGTGCGTATACCGCCCCCCCTTGCCGCCCACCCGAGTCGCACTGTTTGCCGCCGCCGCCGCCAGGGGCCTCTCCCCTGGCGGCGGCGGGGTCCTCGATCGATCCCTGGGTCCTCGATCGATCCCTCGATCCTCGATCCTCGATCCCTCGGTCCTCGATCTCTCGGATGCGGATGCGTTCGCTCGTGAGCTCCATGGGGGAACCCGCGCTGCAGCACCTGGCCCCTGCCCTCCTTTCCGCGCGCCTGCGCCGCGCAGACGAGCGGGAAAAGACCCAGAGCCCAGAGATCCGAGGCTCCCCAAAAATGGAGCGGTCGGGTTTTGGCCACCTTCGGTCTCGGGGTGGGACCTCCGCCGGCCCCGGGACAGCGGAACCACGACTCGGGAGGCAAGACCGGTCTTGGAGCAGCTGTCCAGACCTCTGGGCCTCCACGCACCGGAAACATGGGAGCGCCAGATGTCTGAAGAGTTCCGGGGGAGGAGAAGGTTCGTGTACAGTCGGGGCCCTGAAGAAGGAACCCTTTTCGTTGGGGAGGGGCTCCGCGTTCCTAAAGTGTTTCGCAGCTTGCCTCAGGTTTTCCTTGTGTCTTCGATCGGAAATCGAAGTTTCACTTGTGGTAAATAGGGGCATCGTTCCTCATTCAGGGTTCCTGAGGTCAAGGCCCCGACTGTACCCAGCGGCCGGCGTCCGCGCGCAGAAGGCGTCTCGGCGGGGCGCCCTCCGCAGCCGCCGGTGGCCGACTGGGCGCTCGCGAGGTCCGTCGGCGGGCGCGCGCACGCCAGCGGCCGCAGGAGCGTCGCAGGGGGGGGCCGCCTCGGCGGGCCTGCCCAAAGGGGCCCCGCCGGAGGTGCCCGCGCGGGTGGCGGGTCCGCACCGCGGCCAGGAGGAGGAGGAGGAGGAGGAGGAGGAGGAGGAGGAGGAGGAGGGGAGGGAGGAGGAGGAGGAGGAGGAGGAGGAGGGAGGAGGAGGGAGGGAGGAGGGAGGAGAAGGAGGAGGAGGAGGAGGAGGAGGAGGAGGAGGAGGAGGAGGAGGAAGAGGAGGAGGAGGAGGAGGAGGAGGAGGAGGAGGAGGAGGAGGAGCGTCACAGGGGGGGACCGCCTCGGCGGTCCCTGCCCAAAGGGGCCCCGCCGGAGGTGCCCGCCGCGCGGGCGCCGGGTCCGCGCCGCGGCCTCGGCGGGATCCCCGCCCGCAGGGGAGGGCCCCGTCCGCGAGTGCTGCGGCGGGCCGGCCCTCCGCCCGCCCGCCCGCGCCGTCGTCGGGCGTCGCGGCGTGCCCCCGCTGCCCCGCCGTTCCGGCGGCGGGCGAGGGGGGAAGTTCGGGGGGTGGACAGAACCCCTAATAGTGACACGTCGATTAGTGAATTGTCCGTTTTCGGTTCTCGAGGGGGCGCAGTGGCCGTTATTTTCCAGGCTTGCGCCCGCCAGGTTTGGGCCCGAAGTCGTTTTCACTAAACCACGTTTTACTAAAGGGAGGTCTGTCCATCCCCGAGAAGTGAGAAGGGGAAGGCCTTCGCAGAAGGTTCGGAAGTCCCCTGGCCTTCTGAGAGAAGTGTTCTGGGCCTTCCCCGAAGACGACAGACCTCTCAGAGGGCGCGAGGGGGCCTCTGAGAAGGCCCGCCGCCTTCGGAGAAGGCCTTCTCCTTCTAATGTCCCCCCCTTCGCTCGCCGCCGAGCCGCTGCCTGGATCCGAGTGGCCGTCGACGGAAGAGACAGGTCGGGCACGTCCTCCTACGGGCGGGATTTGGACGAAAAATAAATCATTGACCAAACATATTCAAACATGGTCAACAATAGTCGAACCATCGTCCCAAAACTTTTGTTTTACTATCTTTGGCTATTCCTGCTGTCGAGGGACAGGGGCCGACTTCACGGAAGAGCCTCTGTGTCCCTCCCACCTCGTCTTGGCCTTGGCTGCCCTGGTCTGCTGGACTGCCCGGCTACGGTGGGTGCGCTGGTGAAGGAATGTGCCTCGCAGGCTTCGGACCCTGTAGGGCTTATACTTTGTCGTCGTCAGGCTGCACAGCAGGAGCAACCGGCTGTAGGTTAGAACCCGGAAACAACTTGAAAACAAGGGAGAAACCGAAACGCATGAAGAACGGCAGCACAAAGTAAGGAGGTAGAGGAGGGTGGCGGTGAGATCCGTGGTCAAGCCGCGGTTGGTGTTCCACTGGCTTCCAGACCCTGGGCTCCTTAATTGAGGGTTCCCATTCAATGCCCTCACCATACTTGCGTAGATCCCCGCCTGCACAATCCCAGCCTGCGCGGAACGAGGCACTCCTTGAGGCCCGCGCGCCTGGCATATCATGCTCGCTGCCCCGTCTCCTACGGGATTCCGCCGCGTGTCGCACCTCCCGCGCCTCCCAGGCGCAACCCACAGCGGGCGATGCAGGCGCCTGCGTGGGACACTCCATGATGGTGCGCACCGCCCCGTGGGAGGCGAGCAAAGATCAGGAGGGAAAAAACACACACAGACACAATTGATCGTCGATGCCCAGGAAAATATGGGAAAATATGGGAAGTGGGGGGGAAGACGAAACCCCGAAAATATGAGAACATATGGGGGATATTTTTATTTGTGTGTATTTATTTGTGTGCCCTGGGGCCCCTTCAAAAGGGCGCGGACGTGGCGCTCCCACGGTGCAGCAGGACACGAGAAGGCCCGCACACCATCGTCGAGGCCACGCCTCCGAGGCCGCTCCCGGACGCAGAAGCCCACTCTTGCACATCGTTCACGTCTAATTATTCGGGAGTTCTTTGATTTTTTTTGGGGGGGCCAAGATCCTCTCATTTCTAACTGTTCTATCGTGGGCCCCTTCCTGGCAGCCGGGGGGCCACGGGAACAATCAGAAACGAGCACGATCAGGGACGAGCGCGATCAGAACTGAACGACGTGCACACGGACGCACGACACAGAGGCGGCACGGGGGAGTGAAGGAGGGAGACGGCACGAGGGAGGAGGCACGATGCAGGAAGCCGTGCTCTCTGCAGTCTTGTGCTCACTGCGCACCTGCCCGCGCGGCCCCCTCCTCCGGAGCGGGCGCTGAGGAACAGGCGCTGCACGGTGCCGCCGGTCCGGCCCCTTCGGCGTGAGTTTTTTCCTGGGAAGGGGCGCCAACAGGCCGAGACGCAGTAGACATGGATACACATTGCTCATGTCATAGTATTCGAAAGTTCTTTGATTTTTTTGGGGCCAAGATTTGGTTCGTTTCTAATTGTGCTATCCTGCGCCTCTTCCTGGCCACTAGGGGGCCAGGAACAATTAGAAACGAGCACAATTTGGAATGGACGCGATTAGAAATGAAAGACGTGTAGGTATGGATACAGCTCTAGCCTCTAGCATTCATACTTGTTATAGATGTCATGGCGCCAACTTCGCAGAGTGGGTTTCGTTTGAGAAACTATGGGATGGGCCCGGCGTTTCCTGGATAATTTCGTTTCGGATTTCGAAGTTGATTTCGTGCGGATTTATTTTGGCCAGGAATGAAGACTGAACAACAATCCACGCGAAATTCGTTTCGTTTTTCGCTCGCCATTTCGGGGCTCTGCACTGACAGAAATCACCGCAAAAAAATCCGCTGAAGCACGTCTGCAAGGTCGGTGCAGTGATAGATGTCGTCCACTGCGCCTCGGGTGTCTTGGGAAGGGAGCCCCGAGACTCAAAGGTACGGTGGGTATGGATCATCTTGCCCGCAGCCGTGGCTGACGCTGTGGCTGGCGCGGCGGGTGCGCTGGCCGTTGCGCGCGAGGACCTGTGCGAGGCCGGGCACGCCCTCGCCAAGCTGGGGGCGGGCGTCGGTCGCAACCGACCTGCCCCAGGCGGACAGTCTGAGAACAGGCCTGTGGCGGGTTGACGGGCTCCCAGCGGCCGAGTCTGGTGCGGGGCCTCATCCGTCGAGCAGTCCTGGGACCCGTCGGGCCCGATCTCGGGACCCCATCGGGGGCCCCGTCGGGCCAGCACGGCCCCCCCGACGGGGCGGAGGAGGAGGAGGAGGAGGAGGAGGAGGAGGAGGAGGAGGAGGAGGAGGAGGAGGAGCTGACCCCCGAGACGACGGAGGCGGCGGCGGTGCGGAGGGCGGAGCCCCACGCGCGCGTTGCGGTGCATGCGGTGCGGCACGCACGCAGTGCGGCAGCGGCGCCCGGCGTGCCCTGGTTCGGCCCCCCCGCCCCGCCCCGAAGGCCGCGCACCGAGGAGGAGGAGGAGGGGGAGGAGGAGGAGGAGGGGGAGGAGGAGGAGGAGGAGGAGGAGGAGAGCAGAGGAGGAGGAGGAGGAGGAGGAGGAGGAGGGGGAGGGGGGGAGGAGGAGGAGGGGGGGGGGGGAGAGCCCGCGCGCCGAGGTCGGCCACCAAGATATCGCTGAAGACGAAGGCGCCGCGCTCGTCGCCGCCGCCGTCGCCGCCGCCGCCGCCGTGGTCGTCATCGTTGTCGTCGTCGCCGCCGGCGCCGTCGTCGCCGTCGTCGTCGTCGTCGTCGTCGTCGTCGTCGTGGTCTTCTGCTCGCTGTCGTCCTCCTCCCCTCTCCCGTCCTCCTCGTCGCCGCCGTCGCCCTCGTCCAGGCGCCCCGCTGCGCGCCGAGCGGGGCGGCACGGGCCCGCGCTCGAGGGGTCTCCTCTTCTGGGAGTCAAGGCTGACGGGGGTCAACGCTAACGGAAGAGGTACCGATACAGTCGGACCGACATGTGACATGCAAGATCGAGGTCGGTGCGGGGAGGGTATCCTGATGTTCTTCGTGGTTGTCGGATGTTCTTGCGCATCATGGGGGAGGGAACCCTCGAATGATCTTTAGGGCTTGCGCTGTGTTGGCCGGCGGAGGGTATCGTGCTCTTGTGGGAGCCGCGTGGGGCGCATTCCCCCGTTCCGCCCTCCGCTGACCCGGGCATGGGAGCTGCTAAGCGGCCAGTCGGGCTCTTCGCGACAAGGTCCTGGCCGACCTGGGCTTTTTCTGACCCGGGTTAGTGCGTGACCGGCCCTCGTGGGAGACATGATCGACCCACGAACCCAAGAAGGACTATAGAGATGTAAGGCATGGCAACGTTTCGAAGACACCTGCTTGGGCGACGGGCACATGCAATGCTGATTGTGTCGATCTTGATGTACCGTGCCGAGGGTTGTGCTGTGCTGCGCCGTGCTGAACTGCGATGTGCCATGGTTCGATTTTATATATATAGCGTTGTGGATCGAGTCCTCCCTGGCATCCGAGTCCTGACCGAACTGATCTAGATCGTAAGCTCGAGCTGCCTGAGCAGATGGGAGCTGCCCCAGAACTAATCGACAGAGGGGACATGCCAGGAGGACGCGCCGCGGAACGTCCCAAGGGACGCGCCAGGCGACGTGCCAGGGGACGTGCCATGGACACGCACCGCGGGGCGTGCCAAGGGGACGCGCTACGGAACGTGCCAATGGATGTGCCGCGGGACGTACCAGGGGACGCGCCGCGCGACGTGCCAGGGGGACTCGCCACGGAACGCGCCAAGGAACGTGCCAAGGGGCAATGTTGAGTGTATCGATTTTGATGTACTGTGCCGACGGCTGTGCTGTGCTGGGCCGTGCTGAACTGCGATGTGCCATGGCGCGATTGTGTTCTATATATAGCGTTGTGGATCGAGTCCTCCCTGGCATCGTAGTCCTGACCGAACTGATCTGGATCGTAAGCTCGAGCTGCCTGAGCAGATGGTAGCTGTCCCAGAACCAGTCGACAGGGGGACATGCCAGGAGGACGCGCCGCGGAGCGTCCCAAGGGACGCGGCGCCAGGCGACGTGCCAGGGGACGTGCCATGGACACGCACCGCGGGACGTACCAAGGGGACGCGCTACGGAACGTGCCAATGGACGTGCACCGCGCGACGTGCCAGGGGGACTCGCCACGGGACGCTCCGCGGAACGCGCCAAGCAACATGCCAGGCTGCAATGCTAAGGGTATCGATATTGATGTACCGTTCCAAAGGCTGTGCTGTGCCTGGACGACCTGGACATGTGAAAACACGCGTTTCGCTCAAGACGTTCTCGGCACATCCTCATGCTAGACATCCGCCTGGGCAACCTGGACACGTGCAAACAAGCGTCTCGATCGAGACTTCCTCGACACATCCTCATGCTAGTTAGGCATCAGCCTGGCCGACCTGGACACGTGAAAACAAGCCTCTGGTTCGAGACATCCTGAACAAATCCTCATGCTAGACATCTGTCTGGGCAACCTGGAGGCGTGACACCAAGCGTCTCGCTCGAGACACCCTCAAGACCTGGGCACGTGAGAACAAGCATTTCACTTGAGAGATGCTCTGAATTCAGGTTCCCAGGAGAGGACATGCTATAAGAGAAAACAAGCGTTTCGCTCGAGACATCCTCAACAACTTCTGAACATCAAGCGTTTCGCTCGAGACATCCTCAACTGTTAATTCGCGGGGCCACCTCGACCTCGATATTGATCGCAAAAGAAATCCGCCGGCCCACCTCAAGTCAAACCCGGAGGTAAACCAACTAAAAGACAACCCTGGGCTTATTCCCTTTCCGGGAAAAAACGTGTCCGTATCCGCGGTCTCGCGGGCCAGGCCCCGCAGGCCGCGATGCCACAAATACGAGGCGCTTTTTGTTCGCGGGTGCCCTGCGCGGAACGCATCCGTGCGAGCGCGCAACCGCGGGATCGCGCCCCGGAAGCCAGGCCGCTAGGGCGCACATACGATACGCTCGTCGCTCGTTCGTATATCGCCCCCCGTAACGCCCACCCGAGTCGCAATGTTCGCCGCTGCCGCCGCCAGGGGCCTCGTATGTGTCATTATGTTTTGCCTCCGTGTTGTGGCGTGTTCGGTGATGCTGTGTCATGATATGAGTTGTTATGCGTAGGTATGATATGTTATAATCGGTTGTAGTCTGTTATGTTGGTTCATGATGTTTTATGTTATGTCAGGTTCTGCTCTGGGATGTTATGTCATGTTCTGTCATGCTGTGATTTGTCATGCCATGACTATGTTATGATATGTAGTGTTGTGTTGTGCCATGTTGTGTTCGATCGTGTTCGTCGTCGCTATGCTCCGCTGGTGCGTTATATGATATGTTATGTGATGATGTGTCATGGTATGATTTGCTATCTCAAGGTGTGTTATGGTATGCTCGATTATGGTATGCTATGTTGCGTTATGTCGCCTTCTATTATGACATGTGATGCTCTTGTATGTTCTGCGATGTGATGTTATGATCTATTGTGCCATGACAGTGTTATGTTATGTTATGTCACGTTCTGTCATGCTCGCGTTCTGTTCTGCAATGTCATGTTGTGTCATATTGTGTTCGGTCGTGCTCGTCGCTATGTTCTGCTGTCGTGTTCCAATATGTTCCATGATGCAGTGTCAGGGTACGGTATGTCATGCCAATGTGTGCTATGTTATGTTTGGTTCTGGTATGTCCTGCTGTGTTCTGTCGTGTTCGTCGAGGGCGCGATGCGGGATTATCGGGACACCTTGGGGTCTGGCGGCCGCGGTGTGCAGGGCGGGGTTGGCCCAGGGGGCGAGGAGGGGCACCCAGGATCCTCGGGGCACCCGGGACCATTGGGGGTCTGGCGGCGGCCGCGGTATGCAGGGCGGAGTTGGCCAGGGGCCTGTTCTTGACATCTACCAGCCCCAACCCGTCGGGTGGGGAAAGCCAGATGGAATTTGCATCCCCCCCCAAAAAACCCGATATTCTGGTCTTCGGGTTGGGTTGGGGGTTGGGGTGGTCTGGTGGGTAAGTCGTTAGTCGGGCGTGTCCCTCTACAGGGGAAAAATTCAAAAAACAGTAAAACATCGCCTGGGGACGATTTTCTGGTATTATTTTACATGTTCCAGCATTTGTTGAGCATGTTTTATTTGTTGGCCAAAATCTGCCTGTAGGGAGACATGCCCGACATAAAGGTCGTCCCTGGAGGCCTTCCTCTTCGCTGCGAGAAAGAACCGCCCCCTTCGAAAGACCAGCACCTTGTGGCCCTGCCATGTAAGCGAGAGGCTCTTTTCGAAAGGGAGCTGCCTTGCGTCCTTCGGGCGAGCAGCCAGTGAAGGGTTTCCCCGAGGGGCTTAGGCGACCCGTCCTCCTCTTCCTCCTCCTCCTCCTCCTCCTCCTTACGGCAGTATTTTGTGGGCATCCCATACCAGAATTTTCGAGGGCTGGATGGGGGATAGTTCAAGTTTCGGTTGAAGGATTCCCCGATTGTGCTCGATCTATGGGCCTGTGTGTTCTCCGATATTGCAGACTGCCCCCGCCGCTGAGTTTTTGGCCATGGCGCAGGCGTCTCTGCAGCTGGGGCCCCCAGTGTTGTTTTCTCTGATTGCCAAGCGGTAGTCAGCCACTACAGGCGACCACCCTCTCTCATATGGTTTATTTAAAGAAGCAATATGCATGCCAGTTTCTTTCCATTAACCAGTGCAAGCATTTAGAGCCCTGGTCAAGGTCAAAGCCCACCTGGATCCTGAAGAATCTGACCTTGAGCAGGGTGAGCGTTTTCGTAGGTTGGGCAACGACCATGCCGACGCTATCGCCAAGGCAGGGGCCCATGTCCACCCTAGACCGTCCGAGGCTGAAGCAGCGAAGGTGGCCAGTAACGTCGCTGTTGCTCGTGCAGTGTGCCTTCTGCCCGCCAAGCTGTTACCCCAGTGGCCGAGACTCCGACTCAATGGTGTTGAGTTTCCAGCCCCTGGTCGCGTGTGTCAGCCTGCTGCAGTTTCCACTCACCACGATTGGCAGTTTTTTGTGGGTGGTGGCGTTGTGCAGTTTGTCGCGAAGGTGCTAGGTCAAATTCTAGGCCTGACCTTGGGAAGTGCCTCGGCCCGGCGCAGTTGGACATGGACGGTGCGGGGCGGAATGCCCATAAGCCTGCTTTGTTTCACGTGTCCGACGGATCGGACTGTTATGTGTGCTTGTGCTGTGGGGCCTTCCTCCACACAGGTGCATTGTCGCACAGTGGCTTTGCCAGCAAATGCCTTGGGCAGTTCAGCAGACATAGCCGCACGACTTTCAATAAGATAATGTCAGGACGTTGCCCGCGGAACGACAAGGATCTGCGGATTGTTGGATCTTCGATCATCCCTTCGTTCGCACTTGGCCTCGACCCCAAGGCGAGTTGGGAAGCCTGTGCGAACGGCCCCGAACCCGGTCCTGTGTCTGCCTCGAGGAGTGTTTCGGTGATGCACCGCCTGGTGGAGGCGGCCTCGGGCGGGCCAGGAAATGTCAAAAGGTATGATTCGGGGTCGTCGGATTGACATTGGGCTGCAGCTTTTAGCCAAAGGGGATACTCCCGCCGTTGGGAGCTCGCCCATTGGTTTCTAGGCCGCTTCCTGTGGTCAGTCCCTTTTCTCTGTCAGGTCCCCTTGGCCAGTGTATACCTGGTTCCATCGGGAGACAGTCTGCACCAATGAGTGCCCTCTGTGGGAATCGCCAACCCACAGTTGTATCGGGCTGCATCGTGGATGTCAAAAACAATCCTTCTCCTCCTCCTCCTCCTCCTCCTCCCCCTCCCCCTCCTCCCCCTCCCCTCCCCCCTCCTCCTCCTCCCCCTCCTCCTCCTCCTCCTTCTCCTCCTTCTCCTCCTCCTCCTCCATCTCCTCCTCCTCCTTCTTCTCCTCCTCCTGCTCCATCTCCTCCCCCTCCCCCTCGATCTCCTCCTCCTCCTTCTCCCTCCTTCACCTCCTCCTCCTCCTCGGGCCGCCTGCAGTAAAGGGGGAACCCGTGCAGTAGCCAGGAGCACGAGAGGGATCATTGTTCAGTCCAGCAAGGCGTCCAGCGAGAAACCCCCGTTTCGACAGATTGGACAGCCCCCTCCCCGTGCAAAACGATTGCTCAAGTTTGCGCTTCTGGCCATCCGCACCTGGGAAGTACCAAGCTGTTGCCCAATTCTCAAGAAAGGAACCGGCCTCCATCCATCCAGCTTCTGGCCATCAGCATCTACGAAGTATCAAGTGTTGCCAAATGTTCAAAAAGGAATCGACGTCCATCCATGCGGCTGCTGCATGTTATGTTTCGCCCCGCATCTCTTTGGTAAGAAAATCGATCTTCCGGGCGTCTCCAGCCAGAGCCCCATGTTGAAAAGGCAGCGTCCTCCATCCTTCTAGCCGTTGCCTGCTTAACGTCGACTGTGCGCAGTGCTAAGGCGAGAGCTCCTTGTGAAAAGGAGATGCCCTCCATCTTTCTAGCTGGAGCGACATGTCGAGGTGGATGTGTCCGGCGCTTAGGCGAGAGTTCCGTGGGGAAAACCAAGTGAGCGCCACTTGTGCAATTGATGCAAACTGTTCAGGTGAGTGCACGCGGCGCTAATCCGAGAGCCTCATGTTGAAACGGAACAGCTATCCATCTTTGTAAGTTGACTGCATGTTGTTAAGACGGAAGTGCGCCGCACAAAATCGAGAGCACCATTGTGAAAAGATCTCGCCTTTCATCCGTGTAGTGTTGTAAGGCTTCAAAACCGTGATCCCGCTGCATCCTTGGCAAAATGTCAGGCTTCGCGCGTTGCCGCCGTCGTTCAGAATGATGCTCCAGCCCCAGCGCGGGCCACAATTCTGCATCCGACTGCTTTCTTGTCATTCTCGGCCCGCTCCTTTCCCTCCCCCAACTTCTCCTGGTCCTCCTGCTCCTCCCGATCCTCCTGCTTCTGCTGCTGCTGCTCCTCCTCTAGCTTCCTCCTCCTCCACCTCTTCCTCCTTCTCCTCCTCCTCCTCCTCCTCCTCCTTCTTCGCTCCCTCTAGCTCTTCTTCCTCCTACTCCTCCTCGCTTCCCTCCTCCCCTACACGGCTTTATGTACGCTCGTCTCTTCCCCTCCCCCTCTTCCTACTCCCACCGTTTCTTCTTCTCCTCCTTCTCCTCCTCCTCCTCCTGCTCCTCCTCATCCCCCCTCCTCCTGCAGGCCGACGTCATGGACTCGAGCGCCGCGCCCCTGGTGCTGGTGCAGTGCGGCCTGGTGGACGTGCTGGTGGAGATCATCGATCCCGCCCCGGCGGGCTTTCAGGACGGACGGATCGGCGGAAGGGGGAGGAGGAGGCTTCGGGGAACAGAAACGGGGATACAATTTGACGGAGGAGGAGAAGGAGGAGGAGGAGGAGGAGGAGGAGGTCCACGCGGATTTCTTGCATCGGCGTTGGGGCCATCCGCACCGCCCCTTGGCGCACTCCCCGCGCGCCAGGAAGGGGGTCCGGCGCAGATCCACGAGACCCTCGCGGAGCGTCGAAAGTTCGTGTTTCTGCCGCTTCTTCTTCCTCTAGAGGATGAGGAGGAGGAGAAGGAGGAGGTAGAGGAGGAGGAGGAGCAGGAGCAGGAGCAGGAGCAGGTGGAGGGAGGATGGACGGAGTAGCAGTCATGCGTTCAGGGGCAGCGTTACGTGGTGGATGGGCTCAGGGGGAGAAACATCTGCCCAGAGTCGGCGATACCTTGCCGACAGATCGGCGACAGGCCCCCGACACCAGATCTGGTCGCTACTGGGCGGGTTGGGCCATTGGGCCCCCGTCGTCGATCAATGGGCGAATGGGGGTCGGTGCGTTCCCTCCTGAGTCTATCCGTCTGGTTTTCGGGTCACAGCTCGTGTCCCCTCATGGGGGGAGGGGGGAGGGGGGGGGGATGGGAGCAGCTTGGCATCGCTCGACGTGTGCATCTTTCCTCAGCCAGGACCATCGAGGAGCCCTCTGGGTCTTCTCGCGAGCAAGTGGACGCTCGGCGCCGAAACATGCACCGGGACTGGCTGTCCGAGCGATGGCGAGGTAGAGTTGAGTCGGGCCTGTCCCTCTACAGGGGGAATATTCAAGAATAGTCAGAGAATTGTCCGGGGACGATGTCTTGACACTTGCTGCGCATTTTCGAAGTACTTGTCGACTAGTTTTCACTTGTCGCCCCAGGTCCCCCCCTGTATGGCGCACGCGCCCGACGCGAGGGTGGTGGGAGGGGAGGGGCAGCAGCCCGGTGCTGGGCGAGCCGAGCTCGAGAGCGGGCGCCTCGAGGGGCCCAGATGGACCAGGCCGTGGCACGGCCCCAGGCCTCCGGGGCGGGGGTCGGAGTGGGCTCGGTGCCGCGCGGGCGGGTGCGCCTTCACTCTCGGCGGGCTCGGCCTGCGGACACAGCCCGGTTGCTGGCAGCTGCGAGGAATGGCCCAGCCGAGGGGCTTGGGTCAACGACGTGCTGCAGACCGTGCAGGATGGGGATGGCACGGACGCGTTGGGGAGGGAGCCAGGTGGGCGGCGTGAACGTTGGACTGGCCGGTGCCCTGCACCCCTCGTGCAGGAGTTATGCTTGTTCTGTCTTCGTCCCCCCGAGAGGGCGGGGGTCAGGATCGGGCCGGACGAAAGGGGGGGGATTGGCCTCCCGGCGCCGCCGGGAGAATCAGCTGCGTGAGCTGATTCTCAAGCCCCCCCTTTGCTATCCCCCCCCTTTGGCCCGTCTCGATAGGAAGGGGCATCCAGGATCAGCCTGCGAACACAGCCACGCACGCAATCGGAAAAAGCACAGGGACGGGGTCGGAATAGATTCAAGTCGGGCCTGTCCCTCTACAGGGGGGATGTTCAAAAATAAGGAAAATAACAATCAGGGGACTACTGTTTTGGGTTGTTTTGTTTAGCCATTTTTTTATTTTTCGTCGAAAATCCCCCTGTAGGGGGACACGCCCGAGTCGAGAGTAGATGGTGTCGGATGATCGTGCCGTAGGGATCCCGATGGTATATCCACACCGACGTCGCCGATGCATCGCCAACGTCGCCGATGCATCGCCGAAGCATCGGCGGTGTATCGACGGTGCGGCGAGATCCTCCGACCCGATCTGCTCGGACCCCGTCTGAGAGGCCTCTGACGTCGCACTTCTCCGCGCCAGCGCAATCTTGACTCGGAGCGGGCTGGCAGCGGGGGCCGGGAGGGCGGTTGGGTCGACCTTTTCTCGATGGAGCTTCCAGGAAGGGGGCTCGCGGCAGCGTCGGACGCCCGTGAGCGTGCGCGCGCGCAGCTGAACAGCCAGCCCCCGTCCGAAGTGGTGCAGAAGGCCACCGAGACGCTGCAGGCCCTCGCGAGCCCCTCGGAGATGAGGCCGGGGAGGCGGTGTCCAGTGTGAAAGGGCGTCGGGCCGATGAGAGTCGAGAGCAACTGGCCGAGGTGGCTTTCATGTTCAGCAGGAGTTGTTTCGCCGGGAGTCTGAAGTCTATACGCAGCAGCGTGTTTGGGAACCCCTCCCATCAACGAAACGGCAGGCCAGTAGTTCAGCGCCCAACCCCCTTAGCATCTCCCACTTCCACGATACCCCTCCCTGGTGCACTTTCTGAAGATACTTCAAGAGATCGTGATGGTCGCCCCACCTTCCCTTTCTTTTTCTCTTCTCTTCCTCTTGCTCGCAGCGACGTGGCCTGGGCGAGTGTCCATCGGCCTCAGCCTTGGCCCTTGCAGTAGGCACGCCAAATAAGAGACTGGCTTGCCAGCAGATGCCCCACTGAAGCTTCTCGTCCCCGATGGCCCCAGGGACCCAAAGAAACTCTGGGGCACTTAGGGTCTTCAAACTTCGACGAACAAAACGTGCCCCAATATTTCTAACATATCGTATGTTGCTACTGTATGGCGCGGCATGTGCCATCAGTCCGCGGCCGGTCGCGGTCAAGCTCTCGGCCCGAGGTGCAGCCCCTTTGCGCAACCATCGATGCGTGCGGTGGCATCGTAACCCACGGTGCTACAGTCTACAGTGGACTGATTTCGTTTATTGCCCTCCGCCGAGCCTCGAGCTTTGGCATCCGGTTGGAACGGTGGAGGTCCGCCTGACTTCACGGAGAGCAGGCAGCAACCACATCAGTAATACGAGTGGTAGAAGCAGCATCCGTAGTAGTAGTAGTAGTAGTAGTAGTAGTAGTAGTAGTAGTAGTAGTAGTAGTAGTAGTAGTAGTAGTAGTAGTAGTAGGTAGTAGTAGTAGTAGTAGTAGTCGTCGTAGTCGTAGTCGTAGTCGTAGTCGTAGTCGTAGTCGTAGTCGTAGTCGTAGTGTAGTCGTGGTAGTAGTAGTAGTAGTAGTAGTAGTAGTAGTAGTAGTAGTAGTAGTAGTAGTAGTCGTAGTAGTACTAGTAGTAGTAGTAGTGGTTGTAGTAGTCGTAGTATTACTCGTAGTAGGAGTCGCCGCAGTACCAGTAATAAAAGATGTCGTGGTAGTAGTAGTAGAAATATAGTAATCGGAGTCGTAGCAGTAGTCGCCGTAGTAGAAGTCGTAGTAGTAGTTGTAGTCGTAAGTGTCGTAGCCATTCTAATTGTTGTAGTAGTCGTCGTCGTCGTTGTAGTGAGACTAGTTGTAGAAGTAGTAGTAGTAGTAGTCGGAGTAGTAGTAGTAGTAGTAGTAGTAGCAGCAGTAGTAGTAGGGCTGCTGGTAGGAGCAGTAGTAGTAGTAGTAGTAGTAGTAGTAGTAGTAGTAGTAGGAGTAGGAGAAGTACAAAGAGTAGTCGTAGTAGTAGTAATAGTAGTAGTAGTAGTAGTAGTAGTAGTAGTAGTAGTAGTAGTAGTAGTAGTAGTAGGTAGTAGTAGTAGTAGTAGCCGTAGTAGTAGTAGTAGTAGTAGTAGTAGTAGTAGTAGTAGTCGTTGTACTAGTGGTAGTAGTAGTAGTAGTAGTAGTAGTCGTCGTAGTCGTAGTCGTAGTACCATTAGTATTATTATTAGTAGTCGTAGTAGTAGTAGTCGTCGTCATAGTAGTAGCAGTCGTAGTAGTAGTGGTAGTGGTGGTAGAAGTAGTAGTAGTAGTAGTAGTAGTAGTAGTAGTAGTAGTTAGTAGTAGGAGTAGTAGTAGTAGTAATAGTAGTAGTAGTAGTAGTAGTAGTAGTAGTCGTAGTAGTAGTAGTAGTAGTAGTAGTAGTAGTAGTAGTAGTAGTAGTTGTAGCAGGATCAGAGGTAGTACTAGTAGTACTCGTAGTAGTGGTAATAGTAGTAGTAGCAGTAGTAGTCGTAGTAGTAGTAGTAATAGTAGTAGTAGTGGTAGAAGTAGTAGTAGTAGTAGTTGCCGTCGTAGTAGAGCTAGTAGTAGTAGGAGTAGTAGTAGTAGTAGTAGTAGTAGTAGTAGTAGTAGTAGTCGTAGTCGTAGTCGTAGTCGTAGTAGTAGTAGTGGTAGTAGTAGTAGTAGTAGTAGTAGTAGTAGTAGAAATAGTTCTAGTAGTAGTAGTAGTAGTAGTAGCAGCAGTAGTAGTAGTAGTAGTAGTAGTAGTAGTATTAGTAGTAGTAGTAGTAGTAGTAGTAGTAGTAGTAGTAGTAGTAGTAGTGGTAGTAGAAGTAGTAGTAGCCGTAGTTGTAGTACTGCTAGTGGTAGTCGTAGCAGTCGTAGTCGTAGTAAAGTGAGTAGAAGATGTAGCAGCAAGAGCCACAGTACCAGTAGTAGTACCACGCGCGCTGGCACAATTAGCTTCAGTGGCAGGAACGGGTCACCAGTTGCGGCCGTTGTTGTAGTAGTCGTTTTCGTCGTAGGCGGAATTGCCTCGAGTTTCCCGCACGAGCCTTTTTCAATTGCCAGGGTTTCCCTTACCCGACGTGGTGCCAAGCAGCATCGATTGGTTGATAGTTTGCCTTGCCTATTGGTTACATGGGTCCGCTGGCTTCTCTGCAGCCCCACCCAGCCGGTCATTGACCTACATCCCTCGCGCACGTATTAGATGCTAGGGTGTCATTGTGTTAGGTCGTTGTCAGGCGGCCCCTCCGTATTTAGACATGACATGGGTGTATGTTCTGAAGTCGGTGTTCCGCAGCAGAGGGCCCGTGTAGAGCGGGGTACACCGCGCAGCCAGAGCGAAATGACAATGGTTCACGACCGTGCAGAGCTGGGAGTAGAGAGAGGCGAACACACACACACACACACACACATTCACACATTCACACACACGCACACACACACGCACGCGCACACGCACACGCACACACACACACACACACACACCGGGGATGCGACATTTGTTCAATGATTCGGTGTTCTTTGATTGGTGACGCGAGAGCGGCGTTGACAGCGCTAGCAATCGCGTGAGAGGAGAGCTGCCTGTGGCGAAATATTCCAGACGCTTCACGCTATTCCACCAGCCCATCCAGAAACGATGCCCAGGCGAGATGATCAGGGATGTGGAGGAACATGCAGTGAAATATCGGACTGGGGAAGCCGTCGTACCCGAGAGGGGAGGATGAAGGAGGAATCGGACGGCACACAGCATTCATGTTCCGCAGGCCTTTGACGGACGTTGGCCTCTTGGTGACTTCCTTGGGAGGCCACGTGGCCACACTTGGAGACGTCTTGGGGCGACCTTGGGGCTCCGTGGGGCATGTTGGAAGCCCCATCTTGAGCTACCTTGAGCGATTTGGGAGGTCCTCTTCGGCTCTCTGAGGCCCTCTTGGAGCCATCTTGGGCCATCTTGGACGCTCCACTGCGTTGCGGAGCCCCTCCCGTCCAGGTCCCGGGGAGGGGGCAGGGGTCAAGCTACCCACAAGCAACAAGCCGTCTCGCTCATTCCCACCCGCCCTTCTTGCACATAATGAAGTAGCACCCGAGTCTCTGTATGGACAAAGGCCGCCATCCACAACCACCAGGAACCAATGCAAACGCTAGCCATGTGCGCGAAGTCCGCGAGGTGCGCCGCACATGCCAGCTGCACCACGCGCACCAGGTGCGCCACATTGGGCAATCAGTCGACCCTCCCACCGTCCCTGCCAAAAGCAATGCAAAGTGACGGCGGGTTCATTGTGTGCGGGTGTGCACCAACGATCGTTTTGCATTTGCTGGGTGGGCCTGCGCACGGCAGGCAGTATGATGCTCCCCCCCACCGTCCTTGGTGGGATGAGCGAGGCGGAAGAGGAGGATGAGGAGGAGGAGGAGGAGGAGGAGGAGGAGGAGCAGCAGAATGGGGAAGAGGAGAAGGAGGAGGAGGAGGAGGAGGGTGGGGAAGAGGAGGACGAAGAAGAGGAGGGGGAAGAGGAGGGTACGAGGCTACGAGGCGAGGCACGCGCGTCCGAGGACGAACACGCGGCGGCTAGAGGGGGAAGAGGAGGAGGCGGAGGAGGAGGAGGAGGAGGAGGAGGGAGGAGGAGGAGGAGGAGGATGAGGAGGGAGGAGGCGGAGGCGGAGGAGGAGGAGGAGGAGGGAGGAGGAGGAACAGGAGGGAGGAGGAGGAGGAGAGGAGGCGGAGGAGGAGGAGGCGGAGGAGGGGAGGAGGAGAAGGAAGAGGAGGAGGAGGAGCAGGAGGGGGAAGAGCAGGAGGAGGAGGAGGAGGAGGGAGGGGAGGAGAAGGAAGAGGAGGGGGAGGAGCAGGAGGGGGAAGGGCAGGAGGAGGCCTGTTGAAGAGGATGGTGGGCCTGCACGCGGCAGGCAGCATGCGGCCCCCCCCCCGACCTCCGTGCCAAGAACGGACGGCGGTGCGCAGGCGCGAGGCGTCCGCGCATGACCCCGATTTGGGTACGAAGTCAACGTTTCTCCTCCTCCTCCTCCTCCTCCTCCTCCTCCTCCTCCTCCCCCTCCTCCTCCTCCTCCCCCTCCTCCCCCTCCTCCCCCTCCTCTCCCTCCTCCTCCTCCTCCTCCTCCTCCTCCTCTCCTCCTCCTCCTCCGGTGTTGCTAGGCCTTACGGCCAGTGCCGCCGACCCTGAGGATGGGGAGGAGGGCGCGGAGCATGGGGAGGAAGATGAAGAGGGGGGCAGGAGGCAGAGGCGGATGAGGAGGAGCAGGAGCTCAGGGGGGGCATGAATAGGAGGAGAGCGAGGCGAGCAGGGTCGCGGGGGGGGCGGGGGCACGCACGAAGGAAGGGCAGGGGCGAGTAGAGCGTGGCAAGGAGGGAGATCATGGCGAGGATGTTGACGATGTTGCCTTTTGCCAGGGATGGTTGGGGGTGTTGGTATTTAGGGGAACGAAGGATGCCATAAACATAAAAACTTGGAGGTCCGCGCGGGTTTCTCGGATCCGCGCTGGACCCCCCTGGCGGCGCCCCTGGCGCCGCCCCTGGTCGCTCGGACCTCCGAGTTGTGTGTTCATGCTTTTTCCGTTCCCTGAGGTATTGGTCTTGCACGCAGCAAACAATATGTTGCCCCGCCCGCCGTCCGAAATCATAAACACATGCAAAGTGATCGCA